GCAGGAAAAGTTTGCACGAACATGCACACAAAACGGGTAAAAACGATAAAATACAATTTTAAAGAGATTTTATACTTATTTTCGCTTTAATTATATACAAAATGTATAGAAATTATATTCGTACTCTTTTCCATTATATAAAAAATTAAAAAAAAAAGAGAAATAAAACAAATGTTAAGTTCATAAATTTCGTATTTTTTTAACAGTATTGTGCGAGTCTATCACGCGCATGCATACATGGATACAAATATAAATCATGTACAACGCCAAGCATTCATTGGTTAATTAATCACCACTACGTTATTATAGACAATTTACAAATCGCAGCAACGCGACAATTTTGTAATCGCTCTATTTTCATGTAGTCAGTTTTGTGCACTTTTGGGAGAAACGTATCACAGATACTTTAAGTCTCCCCAACGTTCTCTCGCTGATTGGTCTATGCCAACCAGTCAGATCGTCTGCACTTGAAGAATAATTCTTCCCGCGCAGCGATCAGGAGCCTATAGTCACTTATTTAAGCAAGAATTTTCTAACCCTTTTTAGTAAGAATCCGGCTGCCAAACGAATCCACGACAGTTGAAACCATGCGCCTACCTTCTCACTCACACACCACTCACATGCTGAACATACCTTCTATATACTCACATAATGTTTTCTTACACAGCAAAAGCTTACAAGTATAAACATTACTAGAGACTCTCATGAGCATTATTCCAGTGAACTTGAAACACTAAAATAACAGTTAAAGAGAGATAACACTTGTTTTATTCAACCTTTTCTTACTTAAATGCATGCTTTCTTTCACATCGTTGTTTGATATTGTACATCTTGTTAAAATACATATTTTATGTGTAACAATGGCTTTGGCTTATCCTTTTCTGCGTCAGTCCTGTTTCCTAATCTAAAGTTAAATTAATGTGGTGAAGTCCGTCACAGTATGATACTCTTTCAAGTGTTCCTTGCACAATAGAATTGTGCATTCTTTGCGCGAAGTTGTCGCCATTTTTTGTCTCCATTCTCTTCGAGAAATATACACGCCAACTTAGTGCTATCTTTGGCTTGCTCTTTTAGTTTTATTTTCAGGCAAATACCCCAGGAAATGAGAGTTTTAATAAATACTAACGTCATGAATCCTAGATTTGGCCAATTAGCCATTGAGATTTGAGTCATGAATGAATGATGCCTGTACCGTTAGAAAAAAATGTTTAAAATTGTAAATTGATGATATGAAACATTAATTGATGAGACCTGTCATTTAAGGTTAATGGAAGCATTACTAACTGAACAGAACTATTATTCTTGTAGTAGGCATCCATTTATCTTGCGAGATAATGGTAGCGTCCTGTTTGGTCAAAATCCATTCCTTTTGTGCGGGTGGTGAGACTGGAGTGACCTCTCTGGGACACAGACCTGGGCGATGACATATGGATGCAGTGCGCTGCCTAAACCAAATTCTCTCCACCTCTCGGTCGTACCGACAAGTTCCAAAAGAATACAGAATTTGAGGCTGTCTTGGCTGCAGGAGTTACCGGAAGTTTGTCGGTGTTGACAATCCAACCGCCTTCGGGGCTCCATTCAGGATATTCAGAATATTCTATCTGCATTTACTTCCACGGCCTTTTCTGTGTTTGCATATGGCCACAAGACAGCGGAGTTTTTTTTTTTTCCTAGATGGATTGCCTTTCTGGACGGACGAGCTCCAAAAAAACTTTTGTATGTACAAGCGACGTTTGTAAAAAGACTTATAATTTTAATTACAATCTGTTGTAGATTTTTTATATTTTTATATTTGTATACATTTTTTTTTTTAAATAACAGACATACTGTGGGAATAGTCTTGAACAATATGTGTCCTTTCTTTTCTGTTTATTTTCTTAAATCGCACGTTGAAAAATATTGAAAGAGTTACGTCACCCATTTTACTTAATAATAATAATAATTTATTCTAACCCGTGAAAATTTCAGTTTTCCTATTTAAAATTTCGGATGAATCTTAGTTCTTCAGTTAATCTTAAATATAAAGTGCAGTGTATGTGTGTTTGTGCGTGTGTATGTCCAAGGAATCCCTCCACTCTCACTGGTCTGATTTCAATGACTCATAACTCATTCAAAAGCCCTAGAAAAGTTAGGCTCAGGGAACGATTTTCGTTGAGCTCAGATTCAGGGTTGCCAGATTATGCGAGGTTAAAAGTATATATTAATATATTATACTAGCTATTTGTTATAGTGGAACACACCTATTCTATAGTTAATAGACTCTCCCACCTATAATAAGTAGGAGTAGTAGGAGTCGCTCAGAGAGTTGGTCAGTCAGTCGACTGGCTGATCGGTTGAACTCTCTGCATTCGGGCGGGGAGGAACCCGAAGAAGGCTACGCCGAAGGGCGGATTCTCTTTCGGGGAGGTAAACCAACCCTGAACCCGTTTATGCGGGTTCAATCGGCATATTTTTGGCCGAGCCCACGGGCTCGGAGATCCCACGGGCTCGGAGATCCCACGGGCTCGGAGATCCCACGTTAAACCGGCCTTGTGCCACATGATGCCTTCGGGGGGGGGGACTAAATATCGTTGGTCAGTCAGTCGATGTCGGACGACCGTTAGTCGGATATTAAAGTATCAGCCACCACAACTAGATTACTCTGCGTCATTACCTATTATATCAAGTTCCTAACGTTTTGTACGTCGAACCTATTTTAGGACCGACTTAATACAAATACAAGCCTCCACTGTGAAACCACTCTACAACACTATTATCGTTATTTTTATGGTTCAAGGGGGGTAACTCTTATTTTTCTTTTGTATCCAAAATTTCAGTGCACGCTTTGTTATAAACTAGCTTAAAAGCCGCCCTATCGGGTGGCATTTAAGCTAGCTCCTGTGGAGGACCCTTGGTTTGGCTATCATCATAATTGCTAGGGAGGATTAGATGCGATAGGCATCAATAAACTACAGAAGAACTCAAAATTGATGCATTTAAATACTGAATTAATGTTTAAGCTTACCTTTTAAAAGTTCAATAATAATTCTTCTGCTGTGTTTAAAGAAGATTTGATGTTCGTAGATCCTTATTTTCCGTACAAACAATGATCTTTTATTTCATGGATGACAGAACAGGGACAATTTATACGATACAATTAATATAGTGTGAAGATGGAAAAACAGAAATTAAAATTCGTTATACATTCAACATTTGAAAAGTTAGAGAAACATAATAGCTAATCAAGAAAACCTATATTATGGAATCTATATGAATAAATGCGAAATTTCTTCTGGTTTAACTAATTTGTATATTGATTTTAAAGCAAAGTTTATTTCATTAATTAACTGTCCTTCATTAATGTTCTTTTATTCGAGGATTGTTTTGATTTTCATATCAAAAATAGTTTAGGAATATCCACTTATATTGTGCAGAAAAGTGTTTGAAATTTGCATTTTACTTGGCCATCAACAAGTTGGCATCTATTTGTAAAACTTTTCTTAACTATAATAAGTCAAGTTATGAATGTTGATTTAAAATTTTTGTTTCAAAGACTTCAAGTAGTGAATATATCTTACTTTTCGAAGTGATAGCGAGCGGGCGAAGCCTGTTAGTGATTGATAAAGATCTCCGACAATAAAATATCCGTAGAAATTCCCCTATGGCATCGTTAAGTATTTGAGCTTAACAACTTTAACAAAATATTGCAAATACAATCATAAATATGAATTCTGGTCGTTATTTTAAGAAGTATGGGGGGTGGGGTACACATGAAAAAAAATGAAATTGGAAACTTTTTCCATTTCACTGAATTCTCTCTCTATATATGTATAGCTGGCCACTTGTATTCAAGGGTACCCATCGACGAGGGCGGCTACCCAATCCCTATTTCAGACGCTTGCTCAGACACATTTGTGTTTATTTGGCACTCTCGGAGCCCACCTGTGCTTTATACTGCAACTATGCTGAGTTGACCTTAGTTATAGTTTCTGGGAAAGAGCATGTTATCTAGCGTGAACAACAATTGGAACAAGGCCAGCACGTTCAAGCTCTCGGGCACGATGACTTGTGACGTCGTGTTAGCAAAGCTATCGACGACTCCTCCCACCCAATCAAGGGTTCCGTCTACCCAAATTCACTCACAAGGCTTGGATCAACCCGTGGTATGGTTTTCGGGCATTTTCTAAAAGTGCCGTACCCTGGGATCGCAACCATTTCCAGTCCGATAATAACAGGAAGTCTCCTTCCTGACAAATCGCCCACTTCTCCATACAGAGTGTTCATAAAGTTCGTGTGCACTTAGTAGACTCTTGCGCCTTAGTGGCATTGTCGCCTTACTTGGGGTTAATTGATTAAAAAAAAGAAAGAAAAAGTGTCCAGTATCCAGATGTCTACTCACAGATACCAAATAAACGTTGCCCATACGCTTGTTAATAATTTCTACCTCCCCTACCCCGGGGCTTATTAGGACACCCGTTTATTAATATTTATTTATACAGGGTGTCCATAAAGTTCGTGTGCACTTTAAAAAATTTATAACTTTATTTGTATTTGCGATAGAAATAATTTTTAAAAAGGATTAAAAAGAAGTAAATCTATATTTTTTTAAGCTTTTATTGAAATTTTTATTAAGTTTCCACATGTCCTCTATCATTAGCAATACAAAGGGTAATGCAATTTTGCAGTTCACGGAAAACATTTGCCAACTGATTTACAGTAATGCCTGAAATCACATTAGTTATTTTAACTATACTTAAAACTAGGTACATTAAACTTTATAACATTTTTTACAGATTATTTCTATCGCAAATACAAATAAAATTATAAATTTTTTAAAGTGCACACGAATTTTATGGACACCCTGTATATATCTCTTGATAAACCTCAGAAATTAAATCAAACTAGAAAAGTTTTCAAAATTAGGGAGAAATTGATTGTAAAGCGTTACTTATATAATACATTCAATTATTATAGCCAAATACGAAGGGACATTATGTAATATTAATTATTATGTGTCACCGTTAATATTTTTTCAAATGCACAAAGAAAATAACAGAAAGAAAAATAGACAGTACTTTCTCAAGAATCTTACCATCTTTGTCGGATTTGTGCAGTTTGACCTCTCCTAATATTCCGTCGATGCTATGGTTGGTATTTTTGTCGCTTCCATTCTCACTGCGAGCCATCTTGAGCCGTTTTTCGTCATCGTCATCGTCGTCGCAATCATCGTCATCGTCTTCGCTGTGAAACCGGCTCCTGAGCACACGACTGATGGAACTGACGCTGGGCACCGTGCTGCGGTCGCACACGCCTTCTTTCAGCAGCTTGTCGCGAATCTCCCAGCTGAAAATACCGGGATTCTCTTTCTTATACTGTTCGATCCGCTTCTCGACCTCAGGAGTAGCAACGCGCGGTTTCGAGCCCCCGATGACTCCCGGTCGTATACTACCGGTCTCCTGGTAGCGCTGGAGGATTTTACTGACGCATCCGTGAGACACCCGCAGTTGGCGGCTGATCACACAGGGTCGAACACCTTGCGCTGCCAGTTCAACGATTTTGAGCCGAACATGATTTGGGAGCGGTCTTCCATTGATAAATACCCCTCCCAGTTGGTTTACTCGTCCCTGGCCTGCAAAAATGTAGAAAAGAAAAAATATGGGATTTTTAAAATACTTGTCGGCTCTCCATGTCGATAGATTTTTCGGAAAAGTTTAACATATGTACCCGAAAAAAGACAACAACGGTGTGTTAAAAGAACGGTTTTACACAGCCATTACTGTATAATCTCTCGGTAATTTTCGTTGTTTTAAAAAGCTATTTTTAGAATTTTAATAAGGTACAAACATAGTAAACTGGATGTATGCATTCGTTTTTTTCTTCAAGAATTGACAAAAACAAGTATTAAACACTAATTATTTCATTATATTGTTTACTTCCAAGAATAACAGTAATTATAAATTTTGAAAAAAAAAGACATTTTTCGGCCATTTCTTTGATTAAACTCTTACCACATGACTTCGCTAAAATAGTTTGCATGCATCTGAATTTTTTTTGTGTGTGTTTTTTGACAACAAAAATACTAAATACTTTTTATAAAACTGTTTATTGACAACAGTTTAACATTTTTGTTGCCATTTCTCGGAAAAATATATTTAATTTCGTACGTTTGGGCATTATTAAAATTCTAAAAATTATTTTAAAACAGTGAAAATTGACAAGGAAGTATACAGTAATAGCGGAGTCAAGAGAAAAACAGTCCTTTTGACAAACAGTCTTTTTTGTTGTTGTTGTTGTTGGTTATTTTATTATTTTTTTTATTTATTTATAGACTTTTGCGTTACGTATGTTAAACTTTACCGATTTTTCTATAAGGATGAGAGAGAAAAATAAATGGAAAATAAGTTTTGTAAAATGCAATCTGATAACTGTCAAAATATTTTAATTAACATACCACATCCACACACACACACGCACGCGCGCGCACCCACACACACACATATATATATATATATATATATAGACACACACGCACACGCATACACACACACGCACACATATATATACGCACACACACACACACACATACACACACATATATATACGCACATACACACGCATACAAACACACACACATATATATATGCACACACACACATATATATGCACACACACACACGCATACACACACAACCCCACACATATATATATAAGCACACACACACACACATATATATAAGCACACACACACACACACACACACACACACACACACACACACACACACATATATATATATATATATATATATATATATATATATATAGCGTGAGAGATAATTCATAAAAGGAATGACATGACAGATCAAACCATTATCGAGAAATAAATGTTTTCAATATCATAGATAAAAAAAATTGTTAGCTTCATCTTGAGCTCTTTTTCTTTCAAATAAGAAGGCACGGATATTTTATTTTTACAAAACAGTGATCAATGTAAATTTACAGAGCATAAATATTATAAATTAACTGATTTAAAACATGGTTCCTTCGCTACACAGACAGGAATTGCCTTGTTTCAAAAACCGAAGCTAAAAACTTAGAATTTAATTATATTATATAATTAAATTTGAAATTTTTAACCTGTTTTTAAACAGGATAATTCCTGTTTAGCGAAAAAACCATATCTTAAATCAGTTAATTTATAATATATATATATATATATATATATATATATATATATATATATATATATATATATAGAGAGAGAGAGAGAGATGGAGGTGGGTCCTAAAAGTGTATAGCCCGACCAAATATAAGAATATTTTAAAATCACTTATTTGTCAGTTGGTAAAACTTTACAACCTATCGCGCATATATATATATATATATATATATATATATATATATATATATATATATATATATATATATATATATATATTAGTTATATACATTGGTCATAGGAGAAATTGTTAACGTGATTATTGATTCGGAGAATTTCCGGCTCATCTATTTTCAAGGATTTTGATTAAACTATTGTAAATGGTGTCGAAAACACCGCCAGATTGGGTGGTGGTTCCTTACTGCATTCTCCACGGAATGGAAGAACCGAGTTCGAATTCTAGTCGAATCCATTACATTCATTTACGTGCTAATACTCTTCGGAAAGTTATGAATCTTCTTTTCTCCCCCCAGCTATGGGTAAATAGCAAGACTGACCGGGTTCTATAGGCTTGGATGGCTACTGCTGTAAGTAATGGCAACTTACTGCGGGAAAAAAATCTGCCTCGTCAGTCATGTATCGCCTAAGCGTGTATCACACATGGCACATAACTGAAAATATTTTCATGTATCATATAAGTGGTGACAAGTGTAGAACAATTTCCCTCGCACAGTTTCATATAACTAGAAGACAAATATATTAGGAAATATTTGAGTAGACATCCTATTTTTTTAAAGAGTGTGAATTATGCCTACCGGCCTGTGCATTCAAGATTCTTTTTCATTTCACATCTTCATATTTTCATTATCTGATAACAAATATGGTGCCAGTTTGTTTACATTGCGCAGATCAGTACGAAAATGTCAGTGATTACGCAGTTCAGTGTTGCCAACATTGTGTGAACATTTTGTGTGAATTGATCGGACGGTTTTTGAAATATTAGAAAAAAGTTATCTCGATAATAATTTGGCACGCAGTGTATATATGTATATATATATATATATATATAGTGCTGATGTTAATAAAAAAAGTGCTCAATGTAATGTAATTTATGATCAGTTGAAAAACTGGTCATCTTAAAACACTTAAATAGGTCGAGTTTATTAAACAAAGAAGTCAGTTTATGGTCACATCTAGGAATGAAAATAAATATCTGCTTAAATACGCTGAGCCAGGTCAATGTTTTGTTAATGTAAATCACTATTTATTTACTTTGAACATAAAATTTATATTTTTGTTTAAATTAAGAACAAGTAATCTCCCTTTAATTAAAAAAATTTAAAAAATTAAAATATGAATATTCACCACACAAAAATATCATTTTTTTATTTTATTTTTTTACATACATTTATAAATCTCGTTTATTTTATTTGCCAAATATAATTTTAAAATCTTAAAATTAAAAAAAAACTTATAATCCCAGCATAATATATAACTAAAGTAACATTGAGATAACCAGATATATTAAAATTCAAATTGTGTAACCGTCTGTTTATATTCAACACCTATGAGAGATTGCGTCGGACATGAAACACGAGATGGCAGTGAGGAATAATATATATATATATATATATATATATATATATATATATATATATATGTTTTTAATCTTTAACGTAAATTACTATTTATTTTAAATATAAAATTTATTATTTATACAGATATATATATATATATATATTTTAATTTTTAATGTAAATTACTATTTATTTATTTCAAATATAAAATTTATTTTATATATATATATATATATGTGTGAGAGAGAGAGAGAGAGAGAGAGAGAGGAGAGGGAGACAGAGCGGCGGTTTCAAAGTGTGTATAGCCGACCAAATATAAGAATATTTTAAAATCACTTATTTGTCAGTAAATAAAACTTTTACAGCACCCTGTCGCGCATATATATATATATATATATATATATATATATATGTGTGTGTGTGTGTGTGTGTGTGTGTGTGTGTGTGTGTGTGTGTGTGTGTGTATATATATTGATCATAGTGTATTGAAAATTGTAACATGATTATTGGTTCGGAACAATTTCGGCTCATCTATTTTCAAAGATCTTGATTAAACTATTGTAAATGTTGTCGAAAACACTGCCATACACTGGCCGTGTTCGGGAATTAAAAACATATCTACGTATCAGCAACCTAAACACACACACACACACACACACACATATATATATATATATATATATATATATATATATATATATATATATATAAGATAATCCTAAGGAGCCAGGCAAACGTACCTAGGTTTAACCTAAACGGATCATCAGGGAAATGCCTTTTCCTTTTCAGTCGGCATGTCCTTGAAGATCTGTTTAGGTGAAATCCAGGTAGGTTTGCCTGGCTCTTTAGGATTATCTTAGGTTTTGCACTAGTTAGTGTATTGAGCACTTTACGTAATTGTCTTTTTACTCGTTTTTTTTTTTTTTTTTTTTTATTCTTTGGACTTGGAGCTTAAACACTGGGCGATTGTTTTCGCCTTGTTTTAATGTTCTTGGTTCTTTCTTTTTTTATTCCTCATTTTTCCACGGGTACCGATTTGTTCTACTGCAAGTTGAGCTATCCGAGGTTTTTCCAAATGAGTACCACCATCTATCTATCTATCTATCTATCTATATATATATATATATATATATATATATATATATCTGTTATCTCGTAGAATATATACAAAGTTAATTTGTTAAATTACATAATGTAAGAATTAGTCAACTGTGAAAGGCCATTGAAATAATCTAATGAAATTATTGGAAATTATTTTGCATGGTAAATGCAGATGTAATCATAAAATTACCATATTTATTTCAAAGAAAAACGCTAAGAATTACAACGTTAAATATCAACGGTTCGCTTGCTGCAAATAATCAAGCCAAGTCATCTCATTATTTCTCCATTTATTCGTGTTCATTAGAAAAAGATATTAATCATTTTTGGTGAAACGTCATCGTCATGACCAAAAAGAATAGGCTTCCCGTATGCTCCGATTGAGCGCTCTCTGTCTTGATTTCCCGCCAGAAAGATGTAAGCTATCAGAGTTCGCTGTTGTTTTTGTTGAGTTTTTTTGGTTTTTTTTTTGGTTTTTTTTACGCCACCTCTTCAGGTTGTTGGGTCTTGAAAACATTTTGTTATATAAGAATGCAAACTTATTATCAACAAATAAAAATTGTTTGACTCTTAGTAATTATGATAAGCCTTAATAAACACCATTCAAAATGCGCACAAATTAAGTTAAGTAAAAAAGAAAATGTGCAATTAGCGTAACGAATGTTGTTCACGTGGAAAGTGGAATCGTTGGGTCGTGTTCAAATTCCTGCTTAATCCGATGCGCTTATTTTCGCACTTATGTTCTTGTTAAAAGACTGAATCCATTTTTTTCTCCTGAGATCCATGAGTCAAATAGCGATGTAATCACGGTTCTCTAAGCTTGTGTGTCAACCAACCTTAGAGAAGAATAACTCTAAATTCTGAAACATGGAGAAAACAGTAAGAAACTACTCCACTATCTTTCCCGATTAGTTATGGCATATTGTAAATAATAAAGAAAAAGAATTTATAGATATCCTTGATTAACTACATCCTTAAAATTTGGCTTTAAAATAAAAAATGACAACATGATTAATTTGTTTTCTATGGTGTAGTAACTCTTTAGAGGTTATTCAAAGCCAGAAAATAATTTTAGATTGTTTTTTTTTTTTTTTTTTTTGTTGAGTAAATAATGATTTAGTGATACAGGTCTTACTAATTAACCCATAGCTGGGGAGAGAAGAGGTGGATTCATACTTTTCGCAATTGGATTTGGGTGTAAGTTAATTTAACGAACACCACTGAAATTGGAACTCGGCTCTCTGATTAACAATTCCGAGTCATTATCCATTACACCACCCGCACATCCATGCTTACAGCACCTGGTATTCCCAAGTGGTCACCTATCTAGGTACTGATGGGGTTCCTTCAATGCTTGCCGTCCATGGTTCTCACTTTCCAGGTTAATTAACATCTATGTGCAAGTGACGTGACAGCCATCTGCAGGGAATAATAGAATAACCCAAGCGGTTTAGTCTGTTGCTTTCATTTTCTCACTAAAAATTTGGGAAAAGCATGAATCTCCTTTAGAAACAGAGAAAACAAATACTGATATCTGTCCTCTTATATGTTAGCGAATACTGGACAATATCCCCACAGATGAAGAAGTGACCCGAAGCAACAATAATGTGGTTATACAGAAGGATGCTGAGGATACCATGGACCGAACAGCAACGATGAGGTTTTAGAGAAAATGGAAACAAAAAGGATGCTTATACTTCACATCAGAAAGAAGCGTTCGGTTAGCAAGGTCGATTTTACTGTTTAACCGAACGCTCCTCTGTAGCCAAATCGGTTAAGGCACGTCAGGCTATATGATGGTTCCGTATAGGATACAGGTTCGATTCTTGTTGGAGGACGCATATCTTCTATGAAAATTTCTCGGACATTCAGGCCGGTAAATGTTGTTAATACTGTTTATTATAAACAGAGCATTTACTTAAATATTTGTATCTCTAAAAAGAACGTATAAACATAAAAAAATGTCTTAAATAATTGTCGGCCTTTGTCCATTCATATATATATATATATATATATATATATATATATATATATATATATATATATATATATATATATATATATATATATATATATATATATATATATATATATATATATAGTCGTGGCCCAGGGGGCACAGTCCTATTGTTACAGAGAATTCCACCACGGAATATGTGATGAGCGGCGCTATATTGAGGCCCGGTGGAACAGTTATGATGTTTGCTTCACAACCGAACTGTCACGGTTTCAATTCTCGGTAGCGTATGCACACTGATGATAAGTCCCAAATATAGGACGAAACGGCCGTTCAGTGCTTTCTGCCTTCTGTTGAGACTCGATGAATTACTTAAATATAGTTATCAAATTTTCCTATAATTTCTAATATATATATATATATATATGGCAAAAGAAAGACTTATTTTAGCCGACGCGTTTCATCCTCCCGATGGACTTTATCAAGTCAAATGTAAGCATTTTATTTTGCAACAAGTATTTCTAAACAAAAGTAAAATAATAAATACGCATTTTTGTACCTAAAATAAACATAGAAAGTCGTCGAATTTCGATTTACACCGCTCAGTTACAAACGACTTGCTGAATTGAAACCGAATCAACCAACTGTAGTGGTAAGTTCACAAAATAATGGCGGCAAGTCTAAAATTAGCCTGAGTGACTGGACATCTAGCCACTGAATTAGAGAGGTACACTCACACATTCACACCAACCAGCCAACTCCAGGTAAGTCTTGCGACCATTCAGTCCAGTAACACCTCCATACTGATGAGGCCCAACGTTGATCGAATGAGTGTTTCAATGTAAGAAGCGCAAGCTGTAATAATTATTTTTAAATATATTTTAACTTAAATAAAAGCTAAAATGGACGCTTAATAAACTTGTATCATTTCCTCTGATTTTGAGACTTTATCCCTCGAATAGCAAAAGAATGGTGAGTGGAGGTTGATCGTTTCGAATAGCTATTGAAAAAGAAAGAAAAGAAATACAGGCGTGTGTCAACCGGAACGAAACTAAAACCAATATAAGAAATGCTTTTTTAATTACGGCCAGCATTTGTTATGCCAGATGATTGTAAATCTCCTCTACTTAATGTCCGGCCATACCTACTTCGGGAAAAATACTCATAAAACAGATTTGGACAGGGGTCAAAGAGAAAAGAAACAGGAGGAAAAAAAGTCGAAATCGAGCGTTTAGAAGAAGGTTTTATTGTTCAATTTACTATTAAAACGAAGAAAAGATCATTGTAAGCACTGCTCGGTCTTAGGCCTGTTTTTCCACAATTTGAAAAGCTACGGTCGTCTATTTAAAATTTATGTTCAAATTAATTCTTATTGCTATTAAATTTGCCTTTCATCGCGGAGTATTATCAATTCGTTTTGGGGGTGATATTTGTGGTGGCCTCTTACATACAAATCTAGTCCGTCTTTGTTATTTTATATTTTAATTCATTTATTCATTGACTCATTTGTTTATTTATTTATTTTGGGGTTGGGGATAAGGATATACAACATAAGAGTAACCTATTGCAAAAAAAAAAAAAGGAAAAAAATCGTACGGTTAACTGAATCTATTGTGTTGTTACCCCAAGCCCTGTCCTACTGTAAGCAATAAGACAGATCGAGGTGCCGACAGTGCTGTCAACTCGAGACGGCCATCACTTCTGGTTGCTGTCTTCGCTTCTTTCCCGTACAATCTATTTCGTTCCGCATCATGGAAAAAGCATCTCGCCAATTTCCCTACGATGACAATTGACAAGCAGCGCCCCCTTGAGGCGAAAGCACTCGGCCGCAGCCATCACCACCCATAAATGCCTCATCAGTACTTGGACGCTTTCTGATCCGCCTGGACGTCATGCCTCGCCCAGCCAGGGGCAGAACTCATAACCACAACTCCATAAGCAATTAGGCTGCTACCTCCTTGTCTGCCCTGATATAAGACCTTCGGTAAGTCTTCTAAATGCCGGAAATACAAGGGGATCAGACGCCATTAAAAAAAGAAAAAAAAAGAAAATGGCTAATAAAGAAAAATGGTACTGACATTGAAAAGTATTAATACAAAAAATATGCGGCCAACAAAATCAGTTATGAGTACACGGACGGGGTATATATATATATCCGTATGATAAATCTGGGTGTCAAACGCGTGTGTTTGTAAAATGATTGGGCCGAAGATATTTTGGGTGCGTGAGTCAATGTCGATGAAAGCAATTGTGTGCGACTACTTCAGAGTGGGTTTTATGAACGTTCACATATTCTACGCACACATATATACGCATACATATATACGCACACATATATACGCACACATATATACGCATATATATATAAACGAAGTTAGATCAATAAATACATACACTGATACATATTTATTAGCTAAATTTTGATCGGTAATTTTCAGTGTATAATGTTCGATCTCTGTGATTCTTGAAGACGCGTTGGCTCAAGCGCTTTCAAAAAGAAAGAGAATCACATGAAAAAACATTGTTATGTGAAATAAATACCTTTTTATTATTATACTATGGACTTATCTAAGTACTTTCTAAAGATCTTCATTCGTTTTCAAGTATATATATATATATATATATATATATATATATATATATATATATATATATATATATATTTATTATTATTAATAGTAGTAATAATCTTATAAGTATAAGAAATTATACTCGTTCGAAAACATTCGGTGTTTTGACTTGCAGATAATCAAACCAATACCAAAGGGAAAAAAGGTATAAAAAAAAAAAGACCCAAGAACATGTACGTCAATGAAAGTAATCGTCTAGCATGCAAGTCCAAAGCCCAAAGAAAACAAAACCCGATACGAGTAAGCAAAAAAAAAAAATTATAAGGTGCTCAATACAGTAAGTAGAGCAGACCTGGTTAAACCTAGAAAGACATATATATATATATATATATATATATATATATATATATATGTGTGTGTGTGTGTGTGTGTGTGTGTGCGTGACGCACACTAAATCCAAATGTTGGTATAACCAACAGGAAGTTCGATCGCTACTTAAAGTTTCCATGCTTCCCGTGATTGTCAGGCGACCAGAACGATATATATATATATATATATATATATATATATATATATATATATATATATATATATGTATGTGTGTGTGTGTGTGTGTGTGTGTGTAATAACCGTTGGTATATAATCCAAGTGAATCCTTTTAATACAATATAAAATACAAAATATTAAAATTGATCCACGCAAAGAGCTCAACATTTTAATTAAACAGACCAAGATATTTCATACGATAGGAATTGAGTTTCCATTAGGTTAATGATCATTTCCACCTTGTAAATTGAAATAAAATTTACAAGGATTTTTCAAACCAGTCAGTGGATGACAAATCATTGAAATAAAATTGGCCAATTATGTCAATAATTTATTACCAATTGACTGGTTCGAAAAACCCTAGTACATTTTATTTCAATTTACAAAGGTGAAAATGATCATTAACCTAATGTAAATTTAATTCCTATCGTATGATATATATATATATATATATATATATGATATATATATATATATATATATATATATATATATATATATATATATTATTTAAAACATACACACATGCATATATATATATATATATATATATATATATATAAAAAATTATTTTTATCTTTAATTGCAATAATTTCAAAAATTTAAATATGTTCTTAATTTCCATAATATTAATTGTAACAACTTTTAAGTTCTAATTTTGGTTTTAAATGTAAAAAATTGTATGAATGTAGTCATAATAATAATTACACTTGCTTATTTGTAGTTTGTTTTTAGTCTAATGTCATTTTTTATCATCAAAAATGAATTTTGATGACGCCATTATTGATATCGACAATAAAATTAAAATCTCCCAATATAACATTCGGCCATCATTAAATTAATTTAAAAAAAAAAACCCCAAAAAACCCCAAAAACAGCGTACTTTTTAAATAAACATATTGAAAATACATTTGATTACAATGATTCTCATTTACATGTCAATTCAGTTTAAAAATCAAGTATTGAGTCATATATGTTCTATGTGATCAACAGCTGACCTATTGATGACCAAAAATGATAAAACCGCACATAACCCTCGATGACAAATATATATCCCCAACTTTACTGTTACTTTGTTGTGCACAAAATACATAAAACTTTCATCTTTTTGTCCAGATACGTCTTCCATATACTTCCTGCGTTTTGAATTTACTCGATCCAGTTTAAAATTTAACGATACATTAAATGTGACAATTATGATTTCTTCACCTTTTATTCTACTGAAGTACTTTTTGTGTATAACGCTTATTAATTCACTACGTACACACCTCTGCGGATAACATACTGCATAACAGAAGACCCAAGAAAAAAAATAATCATTACAGGTTCATTGATAATGTGCAGGTTTTGAATTCAAATAAAATATTGGGTAGTTTCATTGACATAAAATCACGTCTTTACCTTAATTCAATTATTTTTTTTTAACCCAGCATTAGTATCGTCATGTTTCAAAACTTTTCATATATTATAGATATATCATTTTGTTCTTAAGTAGTTTAAACCCGTTTTTCCTATTTTAATATTCTGGTGGCTCTTAATTCTTAAATTAATGATTGAGTGAGCTCATGAAATATCTGTAGAACCCCCCCCCATCGCATCATTAAATATTTGAGCTTAACAACTTTAACAAAATATTGCAATAACAATCATCCTGTTATAATATTGCTTGTCTCTCCTTTCTCAGCCTTTAAGCTACGATCAAAGTGTAGTATCTGTTCTTATATAATCTCTCTCTCTGTCTCTTTCTCCTCAATTTTATCCTCACGTCTTTCTTATTTATACACGAAAATGATTGAATGAGTTTATGGCGAGTTCTCCGATGATAAAATATCCATAGAAATTCCCCTATCACATCGTTAAATATTTGAGATTAATAACTTTAACAAAATATTGCAATACCAATCATAAATATGACTGCTGGTCATTATTTAAAGAAGTGGGTAAAAGTGAAAATATTTAAAATTGGCAACGTTTACATTTCGCTAAAACAGCCGTTAAACACTTCTCTCTTTCTTTCTTTCTTTCTTTCATTCATTTTCTCATTGAAACCAGGTCGTGTTTTTCCCTCTTTCCACGCGATCAAAACGGAACAAACCATTATTTATGAGATATTAGCAGATGTTAAACACGTCTATCTTCCCTTTTTTCTTTCTTTTTTCTTTCTTTCTTTATTTCTTTCTTTCTTTCTTTCTTTCTTTCTTTCTTTCATTTTCTCACTGAAACCAAGTTGTGTCTTTTCCCCTCTTTCCACGCGATTAAAACGGAATAGTCTATTATTTATGAAGTATTGGCAGGACGTAAGGGTCGTGCGAACTAACGAAATGAGGGACAAGCATAATTATAATGGAACTTCCTTAAATATTTTGTCTTGAGTGTTCTTCCTAGTTTTTATAGAAAAAAAACAAAACATGTGTACATGTGTGTGGGTGACGATTCGATTACGCGCAAATACTGGAAAAGGCATGAATCCACCTCTTCTCCTCATGGGTTAATTAATAAACGATGTATCACTAAATCATTATTATCTCAAAAAATAAAAATACTTACAATCTAAAAAATATTTTCTGGCTTAAAATAACCTGAAAAGGGTTGATAAGCCGTAGAAAAAGAATCAATCGATCTTCCTGGTTTTGTAGAAGAAATAGAAAGGACAAAAAACGATTTTAAAACGATTTGAATTTTTGAAACTTAAAATTAATTTATTTCAAATCGGCCTTTCAAGTCAAATTGAAAAAATCCAAAAATCCAAATACGCAAAAATAGATTTAATTTTATGTTTAGTAAACAAATAAAACTGATTGTATTTCACAGATATAATATAACTGACCAGAAACTCGTTTTAGTTAATTGAGAAACGTATTCGGAAAGTACTTGACTAATAAAAATATGATTGTCACTTGCTAAATATCAGGGGAAATTTTACTAATAGTACTAACGGAGGGTTAGTAATCAATCTGTTTCAAAATATCTCCATTCACTGTCATGGACTGATCATCCGAGTAGGTTTAGATAGATAGATAGATAGATAGATAGATAGATAGATAGATAGATAGATAGATCACAATCAAATGGATAGATATGAGCATACGGAATGGTAGATAGATAGATAGATAGCTGCTAAGAAAGTTGATTCATTGTACCCTGCGAAACAAATTTTCTCTCCAGAATCTATCATATATCTACCATTTGTCCATGCTTAGAACATCGCTGGCCCATATGGTCTGGTACCCCTGCTATTTACCTTGAGCTCCTTTATGAAATTAAAATAAGAATCAGCAATTTATCGGTCAGTGTTTATGGTTAGGTAAGTTTAACGTTAAGACAGAAGAAGACCGTCCTTTTCCCCCCATTTCCCATTTTGGCCTTGTGCCACATTTTCTGTACATAGAATAAATATCACTCTTTGCTAAGGTACCTAGAGTTTTTGAATTTAAGCACAGTACGAGATCTCATGAATCTGCAGTTGAATTGGCTAGATGTAACCGTAAATTCTATGCTAATAGTTTATTTTCTTGCATTTCTCGCTTGTGGAACTCCCTTCCAGCTCAATGTTTTCCTGTCAACTTTAATCTTCAAAAATTTAAATACAGTGTTCATCATTATCTATTGTCCTGATTGCTATTTTCTCTTCCCGCTCATGAGTAATAATTCTGTTTCTAATTCTTCCACACCTAGTAACACCTTTGTGTCTTAGTGGCTTTACTGCCTTGTATGAGGTGAAATCGATTAAAAGAAAATAAGAAAAGCGATCTAGCTAAATAGATAATCAGATAGATAG